ACACTTGGACAGGACCTAGTGCCACTGATAGTACTAGTAGGTCACGATCATCTGGGATTTACCACCTTAAGGAGGAAGATAACCTTAGAGCCCAATTAGAAGTTGCAACTAGGGAACTTGAGACGTTAAAAATGAAAAATAATAGAGTCACCCACACAGTTGCAAGGGTAGAAGCTCAGGCTCCATGTTTTGTTTGTGGGGGATTGGATCATTTAGCTCAAGATTGCCTAACCTATGGTGAGATGAGAGGGGTGTATGAAGAACAATGTAATGCATTAGGAATGGGTAGGGAACCTTTTTCACCCTATTAAGAGACATACAATCCTAGTTGGAGGAACCATCCCAATTTCAATTGGAAGGCTAATCAAAACCATCCCACATCATCTAGCAATACTTGGAATAGTGAAGCTCAACCACCTAGGTCTTACCCTACACCTCAATACAATGCACGACCAAATAGGAATCCTTTAGAGGAAACACTTAAGGCATTTATGGAGGCACAGACTAAGACTAACCAAAAGTTTGATTCTATTCTTACACAGGTGGTTGAAGAAAACAAGGATATCAAGAGTCAACTCACTAAGTTGACCAATGCTCTTACTGTCCAAGAACGAGGTAAGATTCCATCTCAACCTCAAGCTAATCCTAAAAATTTACATTTGGTGCAGGAATCTACTTCTAATTCGGAGAACATTCAAGGGGTCAATGCAATCACTACTCGTACTGGTAAGGTGATAGAGCCATTGCAAAAATCACCTAAATTGAAGGATGCTACTCCAAGTAGCCGTGAAGATGACCTGTTGGAGGAACCTGAGAAGGAGGTCCCAATTCAAGTTCCTTTCCCTCAAGCTCTTAAAACTGGAAAGATTTCAAACAACCAAGGTGAGATTTTAGAAAATTTGAAACAAGTTAAGATTAATCTACCTTTGTTGCATGTGATTAAACAGGTACCAACTTATGCCAAGGGGATCAAGGATCTATGCACCATAAAAAGGAAACACCATGTCAAAAAAACTGCATTCTTGACAGAGCAGGTAAGTGCGGTAATTGAGCAAAAAACACCGCCAAAGTACAAAGATCCAGGGTGCCCAACAATTGCTTGCCAAATTGGGTCACAAGAGTTCGGTCAAGCTCTTTTGGATTTAGGAGCA